ATAGATAGATAGATAGATAGATAGATAGATAGATAGATAGATAGATAGATATTCATATAGATGCACCTTTGCAGTTTCCTTTGCACTATGCACAATACAAGCCATTAATCCCATGGTTTCATCCTATAGAATTTGGGGTTTGTAGTTTAGGGGAAGCAGCCTTTGTAAAACTTCAGATCCCACCAGGACAGACTCCAAAACTAATTCATATGTCAATGAATTATTAATACATCTTAGGAAGGCATCCCTGCCTGATACGTAGGGGTCGATTGGGATCAAAGAGTGCATCTACCTTGGGAAGACTGACTTGGCCATGGTGGTCCATGCTCTGGTTACATCCCGTATAGACTACTGCAGTGCTCTCTACATGGGGCTGCCTTTGAAGACTGTCCGGAAGCTTCAAATGGTCCAACGGTCGGCTGCCAGGTTATTAATGGGAGTGGCACTTAGGGAGTGTACAACTCCTCTGTTGCGCCAGCTCCACTGGCTGCCAGTTTGCTACCGGGCACAATTCAAAGTGCTGGGTTTAGCCTATAAAGCCCTAAATGGTTCTGGCCCAACTTACCTGTCCGAACGCATCTCCTCCTATGAACCATTTAGGATGTTGAGATCGTCTGGGGAGGCCCTGCTCTCGGTCCCGCCTGCGTCACAAGTACGTTTGGCGGGGACGAGAGACAGGGCCTTCTCAGTGGAACGCCCTTCCTACAGATATTAGATCGGCCTCCTCCCTGTTGACATTTCGGAGGAAAGTGAATACCTGGTTGTTTGAGCAGGCATTTGAATAGGCAGTATAACAAACATAGGAATATGGAACAATTGAATGATAAGACTATGAGATGCTAATGAGATGTTTTATTGGTTTATATTGACTGTTTATTATGTTATTGTTTTTAATTGTTTTTAACTGTTTTATGATGTTCTTGAGCATTGAATTTTGCTATTCTTAACTGCTCTGAGTCGCCCTAGGGCTGAGAAGAGCGGTATACAAATATAGTAAATAACTAATATAAATAAATCTACACTGCAGAATTAATGCATTTTTATTCCACTTTGACTACCGAAGACTCCTGTAATTCTCGTGCTATCAAAGCTCAATAACTGTATCATGTGAAATAGATTTTAGGAAGGCATCTCTGCCTGATACGAAGGGGTCGATTGGGATCAAAGAGTGCATCTACACTGCAGAATCAATGCAGTTTGATTCCACTTTGATGACTGAAGACTCTTGCAATTCACATGCTATCGAAGCTGCATAACTGTATCATGTAGAATAGATTTTAGGAAGGCATCTCTGCCTGATACCAAGGAGTCGATTGCGATCCAAGAGTGCATCTACAATGTAGAATTAAAGCAGTTTGACACCATTTTGGTTCAATACTGGGAAATGATGGGAGTTGTAGTTTGACAAGGCTTCTCTGCCAAAAAGGGCTGGTGCCTCTCCAAGCTACGAATCCCCAGATCCCATAGCATTGAACCATCTGGGTTCTGCACTCTGAGCAACTTTTTAAAAGTTTGCACCAAAACCCATTCTTTTTGCAGCTGTCTGGATTCAAACTGGAGCAAACAGAGTCCTCCATCAGTGGGAAAATCAAGGACAACACTCCCAAAGAAGTGGCTTCTTCCGCTTACGTCTGCCCCGAAGGTCTGGCCTCGCTGAACCACACCTACAACCAGGCCAGTGAAATATACAGGTACCCATTTAGCGCATGTTGTTGTCGTCGTCCTCTCCTTTCTCCATCCCTTCTATTATTATTATTATGATTATTATTTACAAGATATATATTCCGTCCTTCTCACCCCGCAGGGGACTCAGGGCAGATCACAATGCACATATACATGGCAAACATTCAATGCCACAGACACACAACATATATAGACAGACACACAGAGGCTATTTAACATTCCAGCTTCATGAGGGTATGCTCGAATTCCGGCCACCGGGGGAGCTGTTGCCTCACCATCCACTTGCGACACGGATGGAGTACTTCCTCATTCTTTTACATGCTGCTGGAGAGTTTTATGGCGTCATAAATTAGTAAAATTAGCCTCCCCGCATAAGTAGTACCTAAATTTCCTACTTATTTATTTATTCATTTACAGTGTTTATATTCCGCCCTTCTCACCTCGCAGGTGACTCAGGGCGGATCACAATGCACATATACATGGCAAACATTCAATGCCATAGACATACAACATATATAGACAGACACACAGAGGCTATTTAACATTCCAGCTTCATGAGGGTATGCTTTGAATTCCGACCACCGGGGGAGCTGTCCCTTCACCATCCACTTGTGACACCGATGGAGTACTTCCTCATTCTTTTGCATGCTGCTGGAGAGTTTTATGGCATCGTAAATTAGTTAAATTAGCCTACCTGCATAAGCGGTACCTACATTTCCTACTTGAGAGATGCAACTGTCTTTTGGGCTGCAAAGGTCGACAGAAAGCTAGACAAATGGTTGGGAGCTTACTCTGACCCAGGCTGGCTTCAAACTCA